CAAGGTGGGCAGACCATGAGGTCAAAAGATTGAGACCATCCTGGCCAACATGGTGAATCCCCGTCTCTACTAAAAATACAAAAATTAGCTGGGCTCCTGTAGTCCCAGCTACTCGGGAGGCTGAGGCAAGAGAATCACTTAAACCCAGGAGGCAGAGGTTGCAGTGTGCGGAGATCGCGCCATTGTACTCCAGCCTGGTGACAGAGCGAGACTCCGCCCCCAAAACAAAACAACAACAACAAACAAACAAAATACCCCAAGACCCTAGCAGGCAGACACACAGGCGGCTGGACATTGAGAGGAGCACATCAGCAGAGGAACACACGGGCGGCTGGACGTTGAGAGGAATGCACCGGCAGGCACCGGCATGCACCAGCAGGCTGGCAGGCCATCGACCAGCAGAATGACATGGAATTTGGTGGGGCAGTCAGAGGAGAGCCCAGGCCACCGAGCAGCCCGACTCCAGGGAAAAACCATCTCCCTTCTGGCTCCCTCATCTGCTGAGAGCTACTTCCGCTCAATAAAACCTTGCACTCATTCTCCAAACCCAGGTTGATCCGATTCTTCCAGTACACCAAGGCAAGAACCCCGGGATACAGAAAGGCCTCTGTCCTTGCAATAAGGCAGGGGTCTGACTGAGCTAACACAAGCTGCCCACCGATGGCTAAACTAAAAGAGCACCCTGTAACACATGCCCACTGGGGCTTCAGGAGCTGTAAACATCCACCCATAGACACTGCTGTGGGGTTGATGCCCACAGCTTGCCCGCTTTATGCTCCCCTAGAGGTCTGAGCAGCGGCGCACTGGAGGAGTGACCCATTCTCCCATCCCACACCCTGCAAGGGGGACAAGGTAACTTTTCCCATTTTATTAGTAGGTAACCTTAGGCAAGTTACCTTCCCTAAGCCTCAGGTTTCTGTTTGTGAAATGAGTGCTCATATCACAGAATTACTGAGTGGATTAAATAGTTCCATAGCACTCAGCAGTGAAAAAGTTCACCTTTGCACAGTCCCCACATGACAATTCCGTGTCACCTATGGAGTCACCTCCTGGCTGGCCAGGCTCCCTGGTGAGAAGGGCTCAGCGAGGGTGCAGTGTACAAGCTCAGTAAGTGTTATCTCTGGCTTAAAGGCATCTCTAGCAAATTAGACAAGGTCCAGGAATTAGAGGTCTCAGTTTCCTTAACTGTAAAATGGGGCTATTTGTGGGAGCTACCTTACATGGTCACTGTGAAATTTACATCTCTATATATTTGTGTACAGGTATGTATGTATGTATGTATGTATATAACTCAGCATAGTTTCTGAACTTAGAAAATGCTTACTAAATAGATTATCATGGTTATCAAGGCACTATCATGATAGCCTCAATCCCTTTTTACTCCTTAATATCAAAACAGTGCTCAGCTACACAGCACCGTGCTATACACATGCACACATGCTGGAGGGTGCCAAAACGGAGGTCTCAAGCCAAGATTCACTGCAGCTACTAGAGGTCTAACTCTTACACTCCAGGGCTGTATATGGTTCTTTCTAAAAAGAGGTAAGGGAATGACATAATGAGATATGAGACACAATCATGCTCTAAGCACTGAGGTCAGCCCAACGGGGAGCAAATGACCAAGAATGGGGGGCCTGGGGGCTCCCAGCAAACACTTCCCGTGCCGTGAGGGTAGTCACATGCCCCCACCTTAACACAAAGGAGCCAGTACTATTTACCAAAGAGGAGAAATCATCTTCTCCCTTGCATTCTTCTCCATCTCAGGGTCCTTGTTCACCCTGGGAGCCTCGCACACTTAGTAATGCCAGTTTGACATATTAAACTGATGTCAAGGAAGAAATAGTGAAAAACTCTACGTCCCATGGGAACTTAGCAAAATTTATTTATTATTTAAAACTGATATGGATGGGGAAATGAACTAGAACTAAATAGCCCTTAATTCCTAACCCTGCCCCCAACCCTGACAATCTGACTTTGGTTTGGAGGGAGTTCTGAGCCTCTTCCCAGAACTGACACAAAGCAAACAACAAGCGAGGCATGCTTTCAAAAGGCGGAGGTTAGAGAGGACACAAGCACCTTTCAGCCAGCAAACAGGGGCAGGCAGAGCCAACTCTGCTTGGATACAAAGCACTCTTTTTTTTTTTTACAAGAATCATCAAAAGCCCTGTGGAAGGAAAAATGAAAAGAAAATAACAGCCCTTAATCAGAGACCCATTTTCTGGTCTCGGTGTTCTGTGCAGGAGGTTCAGAGGCCCTCTGAGCTGTCCCACTCTGTCACCTGGGAACACTAGCCTGAAGTGGGGGCCCTGCAGCTTCACCCAAGAGCGTCTCACCCCAGCTGCAGCCTTCCCTGCCTCCTCAGGCTCCTTGACGTTGGTTTCTACTGGGGTAGAGATCTTAGCTTTAAAAACACCCAGGACTAGATGTGGTGGCTCACACCTGTAATCCCAGTACTTTGGGAGGCCGAGATGGGAGAATTACTTGAGCCGGGAGTTCAAGACCAGCCTGAGCAACATCATGAGACCTCATCTCTACAAAAAATTTAAAAAGTAGCCAGGCATGGTGGTGCATGCCTGTGGTCTCTGATACTCAGGAGGCTGAGGAGGGAAGATCCTTTGAGGCCAGTAGGTCGAGACTTCGGTCAGCTGTGACCACACCACTGGACTCCAGCCTGGGCAACAGAGCAAGACTCTGACTCTTAAAAATACAATAAAATAATAAAACCAAAAAAGCCCAAAAAACACTCAGAAGACCCCTGAGTCTGACTTCACCATTTAGAGAATCGCCAGCAAGGCCCTGCTTCCAGAGTCTGGGTCAGTGCGAGCTGGGTTCCTACAGGCCTGGCTGCTGGACTTCGGAGGCTGTTCACCATGCAGAGGGAACTCCTCTTCAGAGGGGACCACAAACTCACATCATAAAATGTGTAAAACAGGCACTGCTGGTCATTTCACCCCAAATACCTGCTAAGTCTTACATGGATTTTGGGCCAGCAAGTGGAATGTGGTTCCTGAACTGTTTTTCCCCCAGAAGAGCCATTTGAAAATACAATTAAAAAATGAACCATGTGTTACTCAAAGTCAAGGCCCTTCCTCAAGCAGCCATTCATGTCCATCCTGAAAACACACATTCTCACACAGCCACGTCGCAAACAGGAACTGCCATCCGGCCCTCCAGAAGGAAGGCGGTGAAACCTTATGGCAGAACATGGCAAACAACAGGGCCAAGCCTACAGCTGTGTTACAGATAATGAGCAATGTCCTCAGTTAATATTTAACAATATGAACAAAATGTTTACAGGCGTTTTTAGGGATTAATACAAGGCAGGGAAAGGGAGAGGTTGCATACAGATAAGATAAATCTTGAAAATGAGTAGCACTATTCTATTTCTTCAGTGGGTTTTCTTACCAATTAATGAAGCATTCTGTGAGTGACGGATACTCAGGGAGTTGGATAGCAGAGTCCTAGGAATGATCTGTCCAGGAGAATTTTTTCTTGAGTTTATTGTCCTCTCCTACCCTTGACATTGTTAAGACTTTCAAAATGCAATATATGATTGCATTTAGCTTTTTGAGGTGGAGTTTTGCTCTTGTTGCCCAGGCTGGAGTGCAATGGCACAATCTCAGCTCACTGCAACCTCCGCCTCTCAGGTTCAAGCGATTCTCCTGCCTCAGCCTCCCAAGTAGCTGGGATTACAGGCACGCACCACCATGCCTGGCTAATTTTTCTATTTAGTAGAGGCGGGGGTTTCACCATGTTCGTCAGGCTGGTCTCAAACTTCTGAGCTCAAGTGATCCACCCACCTCGGCCTCCCAAAGTGCTGGGATTACAGGCGTGAGCCACTGCGCTCGGCCTATGATTGCATTTTAAAATGAATTTTAAAAGCTCTAAATGGATGCTATAAGAGAGGTAATTTATTAAGCTGGCCACTGGAAAAACAATTATGAAGCAGATTCTTGCCCCCACCCACCAGTTGTTCTGCTATTCAGCCCTAAGCTACTAGACAGCCACAGTCCAAAGTTCCCAAGCTTGCTGCGAGCTTGGAGATTCCCTCACATGAATGGGCCTTGTGGAAGAGGACAGGACTGATTTTCTCAGTGCACCACTGGCGATTGCAGTAGGATAGTGGCCATCATGTCACAAACATGCAAATGTCCACCAACGTTTCCCTAGAACTTCGTGGTTTTACAGATGAAAATCACGGTCATCCTGTCAGTCACCTGCCCAATCTTTCCTAGGTGAGGAAATGACTTTGAGTAGTCAGCTACCTTGTTTAAGGTCACAACTGGCAAGTGGGGGGCTTGGCTTCCAATCCAAGCCTGGATTCCACCCAAGCATCTTCTCAACTGTTTCCGCATGATCACACACACGTGTGTGCACTTGGGTGTGTGTTGATGAGAAACAGGGTGGGGATGTGGCAAATCTTCACACACTGCCTTTCAGTATGGACACTGGGACATCAGAACAAAACTGCATCTCTAACTCGACTCAACTGTATTAAATATAACTGAATATCCGGTTATTGAGACATGGGAATATCACGTTTCAGGTGACTTTAAGCAAAAACAGCCACTACCGACTTGCTTTCCCATTCAGTTTTTTTCTCTCAATAATAATGAACATCTACCACTCTAAAAAAAGCATTTTCTTGCACAACAATGGAAATATATCACTAAATTGTGCACACTTAAAAATGGCTGAAATGGGCCGGGCGTGGTGGCTCATGCCTGTAATCCCAGCACTTTGGGAGGCTGAGGTGGATGGATCACTTGAGGTCAGGAGTTTGAGACCAGCCTGGCCAACACGGCAAAATCCTGTCTCTACTAAAAATATAAAAATTAGCTGGGCGTGGTAGCGCCTGTAGTCCCAGTCACTTGGGAGGCTGAGGCAGGAGAATCGCTTGAACCTGGGAGATGGAGGTTGTAGTGCACCGAGATTGTGCCACTGCACTCCAGCCTGGGTGACAGAGTGAGATTCCATCTCAAAAAAGAAAAAAAAAAAAAAAAAACGTGAAATGGTAAACTATATATAATGTATATTTTACCATAGTAAAAAAAAAAAGAGTAACTTTCTAAAATACTTGGCATAGGACAAGACAGTGCTTCTCTGGGGCATACACAAATTAAAACCTATACTTGAAATAATTCACATTACATTAATCACTACATGGAATTAAAGTTGCTTTGCCACACTTACCTCTGACCTACTGGGCAATCTTTGCTATGCCCAAAGGACATTTTTCAATGTCCCACATCACTTGACTCTGCTGTCAGCCCCTTCCTTGGCTCCCTGGTAACTGGCCTGGTCTGTGGAGGAACTGACCACACGGCCGGTTCCTCCCTGTCTCTCTCCACTGGTTCTTCTACTCCACCCATTTGTTGCTCAGCTACAGAGCCCTTGGGTGAGCTCAGCTCTGGTAGCCTTTAGTTGCTACCTTCATCCTGAGGACACAGGGGCCTTGCTCCTGAACTTCTGAATAACAAATCTCCTGGCAAATCAATCCTCTCAGATGCCCTAAGGCTCCACCAGCTTACCAGGTCTGAAACAGAAGTCATCATGTTCCCCTGGCAGACTCATGGAGGAAGGGAGTGGTCAGTAGCTTCAAACTCTATAGGATTTAGAATTAGAATAGACTATTTGGGCCGAATCCCTTGTCTCAGCATTCAGAGAAAAATCCCCTCTCTCCAGGTATCCAGGCAAGTCCCCTGGTACTCCTTCACCCTTCTCCCCACTCTTCAGTTATTGAGGCTGCGATTCTGCCTCCTCAGTCTTTCCTGCCCCATGGCCACACCCTCATTCAGGCTCTTCTTCCTTGCCTCCCTATCACAGCAGCCTCCCAGCTGCTAGCTTGGCCTTCTTTTCCTCTTTAGCCTGCTCACACTGTAGCCTGAGACATTCCTCCAAAACATTCATCTAAAGGCTTCTCTTTCTCAATTGAGAGCCTTCAGTGGCCTGCCACTGCCTTAACGTCATGGGGGACAGGTCTGTGTGTGTTGTTCCATCCTTCTTCCTTGGCTTTGTTACTCATAGTTTAGATTCCAGCCAACCCCAATTACCCACACTACCCAGAGTGCACTAGGCCCCAGCCAATCTCAATCACCCACACTACCCAGAGTGCACTAGGTCCCAGCCAACCCCAATCACCCACACTACCCAGAGTGCACTAGGCCCCAGCCAACCCCAATCACCCACACTACCCAGAGTGCACTAGGCCCCAGCCACACTACCCAGAGTGCACTAGGCCCCAGCCAACCCCAATCATCCATACTACGCAGAGTGCACTAGGCTCCAGCCCACCCTAATCACCCACATCACCCAGAGTGCACTAGGCTCCGGCCAACCCCAATCATCCGCACTACCCAGAGTGCACTAGGTCCCAGCCAACCCCAATCACCCACACTACCCAGAGTGCACTAGGCCCCAGCCAACCCCAATCACCCACACCACCCAGAGTGCACTAGGCTTCAGCTAAGCCCCAATCACCCACACTACCCAGAGTGTACTAGGCCCTGGGTAAGCCCCAATCACCCGCACTACCCAGAGTGCACTAGGCCCCAGCCAACCCCAATCATCCATACTACGCAGAGTGTACTAGGCCCTGGGTAAGCCCCAATCACCCACACTACCCAGAGTGCACTAGGCTCCAGCTAACACCAATCACCCGCACTACCCAGAGTGCACTAAGCTCTTCCAGGATCTGAGCACCCACTGAAGATAGCAAACACCTATTCTCCCTGACCCCAAAGAACTCACAGCTCAGGAGTCTCCTCTGGTGCCCACCGTCCCAGCAGGGTGTGTCCCTGCCTCTTCACTCACTAAACTCTGAGTGAGCCTCTATGTCCTCAACACTCAACAATGGCGAGGGTTTAGTATGTAATCAAGGAACCAACCATGCATCCCCTGGCACCCGACAGGTCCTCACAAGTTCATGAAGCAAATGAGCAAAGGAGAAAATTGTGCTTCCGTGCAGGTCATGAAAAACTAAAACTTACACTCTTGGTAGCAGAGCCTATCGGGCAGGATGCGCGGATTTGAGAAACAGTTATTGACAACACACTTTCATGGCCCTGCACCATTTGAGTTATATTTCTCTCTGTGCTCTCAGCCAAGAGTCTGTCTTTTCACTAACAGCAAGTCTTGGCAAACCAGTAATGTTTGCTTCCCACCAGATACATTTGGATGTTTTCAAGAAGCCTAATGTTTTTTGTTGTTTTTGTTTTTGTTTTTTTACTTGTTTTCAAGGTGACTGATTTATTTCCTCTTTTAATTTGCTTTTAAGAACACAAAACAAAACAAATTCAGCCCAATATTGCTCTCTTACATTCCTGAACACTCTTTTCTGGTCGACTCAGCTTTTAGCTTCAGGTCCCATCCTGTCTGTCCAGGTGTGGAAAAAAAAGGAAAAAACTCCCAGGGAGTGTAATAGGGTTCTAGCTAGCAAACATGTGGTAAGAGAGGTGAATGGAGCAAGCAGGAAAGGATTTCCCAGCAGGGGCCAGCAAGGGCAAGGTTGTTGCCATGAGGGCAGGGTCTGGAACCCTGGGGAAAGGGAAGCTGTTAACCATTAATCTTACCCTATCACAGCATCTCTTCCCAGCTCACCTTTGTAGAGCTGCACTGGTGCAGCAGCCACACAGTGAGGAAGGATGGAAGTCCAACAGCTCTAGTTACTAGTGTGGAGTTGAGACCAGCACATCTGGGGTGGGGGGAAGAGGAAGCACCCCGGGTTTCACTGCCCCCGCTCCCACCCCAAGAAATCTTCAACATTGAGGAAGGCTAAAGGCTAAGCTAAGAATTCAAAAGTCATAGAATTCTAAAACTGGAAGTTATATTGGACCTCAATAGTTTTCCATTTGTTTTGTTTTCCATTCGTTTTCTCCATGAGTTATTCCAGGAAGGGATCGCACAGCTACACAAAACATGGTTTAAAATCTCATCCCCTTACTTTATAGAGATGGAGACACGAGCTCAGAGAGATCTCACAATCTGTCACGGTGACTGTCAGTCAACTGTGGAGTCTGCAGTCCAGCTCAGATCTCCTGATTTCCAGATCTTTTCAGTTCCTGTTTTAGAGTACTGAACAGCTTTGTTTCAAATGAAGCACAGACACACTACTAAAATTCCAGTCTGGAAAAAACCTAGTCCGTAAGGTTTTGATGCACAGTTTAAGAACAACCTCCCCTGTAGGGAAAAGCATCCAAATACTCTAATTTTTAAATGCCCAGATATCTCTGAATATTTGCTACTATTTTCCTCTGATTTGGACATAGATCTGCCTTCACCAAATTCAAAACACCAAAAGATATGTGCACTGGAAAGCTTATCTGTACATTTAGGCAATAGTTACATGTTTTCTTGCACAAACTTCCGGACAGAAGACTAGGCAGATGGGTCTCAGTGATGCCACCGGCCCCTTATTCTTTCTCTGTCCTCATATTTCCATTTTTAATATGCAGGTGAGATGACATATCCTTACATGCCCTAGAGACATTTGCGTTTATTCCAGAGAAATGTCTATAGAAAGAAAAGTCCAGGTTTTGGCTAACATATAGGTAGAGATAGAGAGAAAGGCCTGAGCACATTTTTATTTGAAGGACTGGCACAACTTTGAGAAAAATCAGTCTTCAGTGGCATGTTGTGGCTCCCTGCTGGATGGCTCACCCCTCCAGGCTCAGACCCATGACCAGTGGCCCTGTCTAACTGGCCACCGCAGCATCCTCGCCTTCCCAGGGCTGGAGCTGCCTCACCAGACACTTCTATTCTTACTTACCCCGCAGTGAGGCCAGAGGCTCTGACTGCTCAGAGGTGGGACAGGGAAGACTGTAGGGTACAGAGCAAATGCCGTTACTTTTGGCTTAGATATTTATTCCTTTGCTTTTCGCAGTTTGCCTACAGGGTTAGTAACGTATTTCCAGTGAAGAAAATGACCAATGAAGAGACCTCAGTCTGCTCCGATTTCCCGGTTGTGCCCATCTGACCCTCAGTAAAACCAAAATTCCTTTGAAGCTTAAAAAAAAAAAAAAAAAAAAAGATTTGTCGGCTGGGTACGGTGGCTCATGCCTGTAATCCCAGCACTTTGGGAGGCCGAGGCAGGCGGATCACGAGGTCAGGAGATTGAGACCATCCTGGCTAACATAGTGAAACCCCATCTCTACCAAAAATACAAAAAATTAGCCAGGCGTGGTGGCAGGCACCTGTAGTCCCAGCTACTCTGGAGGCTGAGGCAGGAGAATCACTTGAACCCGGGAGGTGGAGGTTGTAGTGAGCTGAGATCAGCCCAGGCAACAGTGCGAGACTCTGTCTCAAAAAAAAAAAAAGTTCGTCAAAGGCCTTCGGTAAACTCCGACTCATGTCCCTGGTGGAAAAAGCCTTGTGAATGGAGTTGGTCCTACCGGGAGAAGGTCTTTTTGCCCTGAGAACTTGCGGCTACTGGGAAGGCCCAAGTATCTGAAGATGGGGAAACCGGGTGGAGAGAAAGAGATGACTGAGCACATATTCATGTGAAACTTTCCCTTCAACCAAACGCACAGCAAATGTTTGCTCCCCAGAAGCCCACAGAGTAGCTGAAACCATTTCTGGTTGACATCGGCAATCTCCATTCTCTTCATTCCACACTTCGACAACCTGCTCCATGGAGCCATTTGGTTCAGTCCATTTTTTTTTTTTTAACATATATAGCATAGTGCTGACGCTTAACGATCCTGTTGACTGAAATATGTTGCAAGCAATATTAGTTCAGGGAAATATCAAAGCATAAAAATATATGGGATAGTGAGAAAGAAAAAGCCATCCAACACCAGCACATTAGAAATTACTCAATCACTTCTGTAAGCATCTAAAACCATTGGCGTCATGTGAAAAAGGGACCAGCACCCCACCCAGAGCAAACTCAAACTCTGAGTCTATTACCAGTTAAGTCAAGACTTGGTTTCTATTTTTGCAAAGTAATCAGTAACTGAGTCGCTGTGAAATTTCTGGTTGCTCCTTGATCTTGTGTAACATTTATCCAATTATTTAGGATGTCTAGGTTTAAGGAGGGTTATTATAATAAGAACATCTTTGAGAGACTTTTTCAAGAAAATGGTTCATTGTTGGGGGGAAAAAAAAAAACTTTCATTTGCCCACAGTAACTAAAGTTTGGTCTCTCCATCAGCAAAAGTTATTGTTGATGATTTCAAACCGGGAAAGTGTAGGTGGGGGAGGCAGTTAGACGTGGAGAGGGAAAAGGCAGAGATAAGTTAGAAGAGACATTTTTAAACAGCATTTTTTATTAAAAAAAAAATTGTCTCTCACAGGACTGACTACGTCCAACATCAAATCAACTTAAAAAAACCATCATCTCTCATGGCTCCATGTGAAGAGACACATTCTCCACAGTGCTATATTACCTTGTCTGTGATATTACGGATCCTGGTTAGGAAAAGGATGCATACCACAACAAATCGCGTCCACCTGGGCTGAGAAGTGCCCATTTCTTCAGGCTGAAAATAAGACTGTATTTTCATAAACAAATAGGAAAATGTGATCTATTGCTTCTTTTCTTGGTCCATGCCCTTTGCCTTGCTAAGTCAGTTTTTTGACTGCCTCTGTGTGTGTGTGTGTGTGTGTGTGTGTGTGTGTGTGTGTCCAGAGGCCACTGATCCAGCCCAAGTGTATTTAGAAATGAGTTCAGTGTCTCACAAAGATCTTAGAGGCCACTACTGTGCCTGGGAAATCCATTGAGCTTGGCTTGTTCTCTCTTGCTCTTGCCAACGTGCACTCTGCTTCCATGCAAACACTCCTGAGGAAGATGCCGGTAATCTCTAGTTTATGTACTAATTACACAACCACATCGCCCTTTGGCGACTTAAGGGAAACAAACGTAAAGTGTAGAGTATTTAACTCGGATGTACTTTAGAAAAACTCCAAAGCAGAAAAAGAACCTTCAGCAGCCGTGCGAATAAAGCAGAAAACGTCCACAAGTCAGCAGCATTTCTCTAAATGAAGAGTCCACCCTCACGGCAAGCCAGACAAGACACTAAAACTGCAAAAATCATTACTTTCCCTACTTACATCGCCAAGCACCTGCAAGACTAAAAAAAGAATGCTATCCAGTTCTGTTCTGAGAAAGCACAGGCCTTTCCAGCAGATGCATTAAGTGAGATAAAAACCTTATGGTTAGAGGAAGAAAAGAAGTTGGGGCCATTACAAATGGAACTTCCAAATAATCAATGCTTTATTTAAAACTTTAAAAATCAAAGTTTTAAACTTCCCTTTAGAGTCAAGAAGTACTTCAACCCTGTGACCTGGCTTATCAATAACTTTCTTCAAGCACAACAAATTACCGAGCATTACCTAGGCATAAATACTACTGTGTATAAAATGCTAGCAAGTACATTAATTTGGATATTCAGTGACTCTGCTTTATTGACTCAGCTTTATTGACTGGGAGTTCCTGTCTTAACTTCTTGCCACCAGCCTCTGCCTTCTCCCAAGACTGCCACATGTGCAGAGACGTGAGTCATCTCAACCATATCCTACCCCAATCCCACCTGCCCTTTATGACTATTTCCTTTTTAAATTCTCCCTTTATTTCCTTCTGATTATTCTCTCGGAAGCTTTGCTCTTTTGCCATCTCTTAACCAACTCTCCCAAATTATCATTGTTTAAATATTATCTCAATAAACTCCGAGTCATCATTCACAGCCTTTTGGTTTAGTTTAGTTTAGTTGTGTAACCCCAGATACTTTATTAGGTCTAACAGTGGGTCAATCACTTGTTGATACTTGGGACATTTCCACTGCAATGGCATTTGTCATGATGTTTATTTAATTTGTGGTCCCAATCCAAGAAAACATGACCATTTATTTAGGCCCTGCTTTACTGCAGGAAAAAACCTAAGGCTGCTTATACTAACAAGATACACACAAAATAACGCAAATTATGGAGAAAGAAAAAACGGGACAAAGCAGAAATTAAAGTAGGGAAGTTAAGATGAAACTAGGAGAGAGGCCAGAATTTAAAGCCTGTGTTATCAGGCCCGCACACAAATACGTACATCAGTGGTTGAAAAATTATGGCCCACTGGCCAAATTTGGCCCACCATCTATTTCTATAAATAAAGTTTTATTAGAACACAGCCACACCTGCTCATTTACATATTCTTTATGGCTGCTTTCAGGCTACAATGGCAGAGTGAGTAGCTGTGACAGACCATATGGCCTGCAAAGCCTGAAAAATTTCCCACACAGAAAAAGTTTGCTAACCCCTGGGTTATATGTTTCTGTGCCTAGGAGACTGGAGCAAAGCAATCTCCTAGGGTAAGTACATTATTTGTATGGTTCTGAAGTGGAAGAGAACTTTCTGCTATAAAGAGCTCACTATGTAATCTAGTGAAAACACATCTTCGACATAGTATTTTGTAGTCAGAGGTCAATGGCATGATGTCACAGTGCAAGTCAGTAAAACAATTCTATGAATATGTGAGGCGGAAACAATGCCATTCAGGTACAATTCACTCCTGGTCTGGCTTCATTCACGGACAGTCTCTCCAGATGGCAAATGCCAGTTACACAGGAAGCCCTTCCCTACCCTCCTTCCTTGCCACTAGCAGACATGGCTAATGGATCAAGGTGTTCTCTTCTGCTGAGCCCCGAAGTCATCTCAGAAGTCTTCTCCCCGTTCTCTGGCAGCTTCAGCCAGTCATTAGTAGTTGGCATGCAAGATAAAACCAATATACCATATTTGCGGTAAGGCAATTTTCCATGAACACTCTCTTGCCTGGGGGTGGCAAGACTGAGGTTATACTCTCCGCAGAGCTCCTGAAGCACAGCTATTCCGTTTTGTCCCAGTGCAGAGCTGTCCCCTTTTATGGTCATCCATGTGAGAGGACTGGATTGCCTTCCCCCTGTGAGAATGGAAGCCTGGCAAGGACGGCCGCCTGGAGCAACGCTCCCAGCACACCTGCACACGTGTGGGCCAAGGCGCTGCCTGAGGGCAGGACCAGGAGGCTTCTGCAGAAAAGTGCTTAGACCTGTTCCTCTGCACAGACTGACAGGGGTCAGGGCCATAGACAATGGCACAGGCATTTTGCCTGGGGAGATTCAAGCCCAATACTCACATTATTTATTCAAAGAAACAAAGTCCCCAACCAGCATCACCCAGGCCCACTCATCTTGTCATTCATATCTTCCTAAAGAACTTCCCAAGAGACAAGAGTTCGAAGATAAATGCAAGTAAACTGGAAAAGGTGATTTTTAAGAAACTACAGTTCAGTTAAACATTGATGACAAAGCAGCCAACTATGAATCTAGAAGAATATACCGGTAGCCTTTCTCTGTGTCTGCTCCTTCCTGTGACAATAAAACTATGTCCTGAATTGATTATATTTCTAGTGGAACAAAAATTTTAGCTATCTAAAAGAAGTATTTAAAATGCAAATTTAAAAGAATTAGAATTATTCTTATTTTGTCATACTAGAAATGGCTACTTAATCTATATCTGACTCTTATGCATGTTGTCAAAGAAAGAGAAAAAGACAAAATATATGGAAAATCTTACAGTATCCCCAACAGATCTTTCCACAAAGTGACTAAAAGTATCAAGCCAGCAAATAAGTAGAATATCCATGCCTCAAACTCTTCTTCTCCTTATGGGTTTGTGGTTGTGTTCTAGCAAACACCACCTACAAATAAGTGAAACCTGACTATATTCAGCAGAGTTAATACAGCCAACAAACAAGATAGATCAATGAAAGAAATGTCTCATCCTCCTAAAAAGACCAAAACTACCAAATTTTGCCATTTACTTTTCCAGTGCCAATGCTTAGGTTTCAGTTCCAGACCACTTAAGGTCACATCTGTGGACATGAGAATGTGGAAAATTTGGATTCTGTACGGATACCCAATTATGCACCAGATAGAAGCATATAGAATACCAACGCAGAAAATTCTGGAGAAAAGCCAAAGCCTCTCCATGTCAGGAAAGAAGCGATCGCCACTTCTCCAAGCAGTTACACAATCTCCCGTGTCCTTTGATGTGCACTGAGCCCGAGCTGGAGATCAGGATTGAGTGAGACGTTTCACGGCATCACCTGAAAAGCCTCTTTCACAACACTTGAGGCCTTTAGTGTTTGTGTTTCCACAAAACTGCCATCCCAAACAAGCAGCATGCATAGTGTCTTCCCCAGAACCTCCCAGGCAATCATACTTTTGCTAAATTCTTTCAAGACTAGTCGTGAAGGCTCCTACTTACGTAATGCATACAAGGTGAGAATTATTCCAGCCAGGCAAAATCCTTCAAAGAACCTGAGTGTGCTGAACATTGTCACATTCACTGACAGTGCCACAGTCAGTCCAAAGATCAGAATGAAGATGATGGAAAACAGCAGCACAGGCCGCCGGCCGACCCTGCATATGGAGAGGGAAAAAGTTAGGAATCATTGTGAAACAAGACAGTGATGCTAGATGCTGAAACCCAGTCTCCAGCAGGTACTCAATATATGCTGAATGAGTACTGGCCAAAAAGTTCTGTGCCATCTATACCCACTTCACTAGATCCTAGACTACTAGGGGTAGAAAGGGAGATTTAGCCCAACCCCCTAATTCTCGAGCTAAGGGAGCAGGGATCAACCAACTACAGAGTAAGAGAATTCACACTTAAGCCCAATTCCTGTTGCTGAGTCTATTTCTGAGTGTATAGTGATATAATTCAAGGCAAGAGGAACAAAATTAATAACTTTCCAAACAGGAACCTTGATACACCCAGCATAAAAAGTCTTGAGAAATCGTTGACCTTTGGGATTGGATCAAAAGTCAACATGGTCACCAAGCAAAGCGGCTTTGTTTCCTCTCCCCAGGTTGTTAACTAAGTCAGATACCTGATCCTACACACAGCCTATCCGAGCCAGGGCCAAGCCATCTGCCAATTTGTTTCAGCTACAAGATGAGAAGTAATTTTTAAGGGATCACACACTAAGGTAAGATAGCGTGAACTTTAAATGCCCAATGACCTGATAGTGAGCTGACAGTGCAGTCCCTTGGCTAGACTGAGGGGCAGGGAGTCCAGGCTGTGATGGTTCTCTGGAAAGGGCCACAGACACCCTCAATTCGTGGGTCCTGGAGCTGGCCAGTTCCAGATCAGTGACCACTAGGGGGCGATGTGCTTCTCGAGTGCCTGGGAGGACAGTAGAGGGTGGTCCACAAGAATGGGGAAGTCACCAGTTCCTATGGCCCCATGCTAACTTTCCATCTTTCCTTCATTAACCGATTAGAAATAAAGTGGCAACAATAACTCTCCATCAAACACGATTGGCTTGGTCTAAAGGATAACTCAGAGAAATGGAGGCAGAGTGGATGCTATTTGCCAGGAGAAAAAAGGGGAAAAAATCCAGACCTAGTGTCCACAATACCATAAAGGGTAGCTGAGGGGCTCGAACTGTCCTAGATGTGTTTATTACAAGGCATCTACATGCAAGTAAAATGTCCAGAAAAGACAAATATACAGAAACAGAAAGTAGATTTGTGGTTGTCCAGGACTGGGGGGTGATGTTTCTATCATCCTTTGAGGGGATGGGAATGTTTTACATTCAGAGTGTGGTGATGGCTGTACAACTCAGCAAATATACTAAAACTCATTCAATTGTGCACTTAAAATGGGTGGGTTTTATGGGATACAAATTATATGTCAATAAAACTGTTTAAAAAAAAAAAAAGGTAAGGCATGGCCTTACCCTATAGAGATAGATGTAATTTTAAGAAAATACAGGGAAAGGAACAACAGGATGAAATTACACTCAGAACTTTTAGTTCTAACCATTCCCATCAGTCACTTTGGTTTACTGAAACAAGGCCAAGGCTAGGAGCTCAACGTAAATTAATAATCTCACCTAGAGATTTTAGCCATTACTTTCCCTTGTCCAGTGCTGGGGTCAGGAAGCCCTTACCAGGAAAGACTGTGAGCTGATTTTGTCCAAATCTAACTCATTTACAAAAATAAATTTAAAACACAGCTTTAGTCATTCTCCTGAAATGAAGAAAAATGAACTAACTCTAACATCTTGCATTACGCTTGACTTCCCTGGTCTATGAAATGGGGATGAGCATCCCACGTTGTGGAGTGTTGAGATCCTTCACTGGGGGGTTGATGGGCACAGATGCAATGCCTGGCACAAAATAAATAATGAAATGTTTTAGTGCTCATTCCTTCCTGCATTTCTGTATCCCTGATGCCTACCAAACAATGTTTGCTCAGTTCTGATATTTTAGAAAAGATGTTTGATTTTTTTAAGCGTGTAGCAACCATTCTAAGTCCCTGCCTCCCAAAAAATGGTTGCTAAAATCAACAAGTAAAACTTATCAAGGTCTACAGGGCAAACACGGTCTTTGAAGCCAGGGGCGTGCTGGTTCTGAATCCAGGATCAGTACTTCTGAACTATGTGATCTGGAGTAAGGCTGGGCTTGTTCAAATGAGCCTAGAGTTCCCTTTGGTAAGGGCCAATTAATGTCCACTTCATAATGTTGTCGACAGGAGTGGATATGAACAAATGCCTCAGCAAGCGTTCAACACATGTTAGTTACAAATATGGACAGTTTTCCTAGGAACTGGCTCCCAGGACAGAACCCTCTCAGAGAGGACTGATAAAGCCACAGTCCTTGTCTGTAATGCAGAGGACTTTGTCACTTAGGATCTGTGGTGGGCAGAACAACGGTCCTCAAATCTGTCCATGTCCTAATCCTCAGAACCTGTGAGTATTTTACCTGTCATGGCAAAAGGAATTCTGAAGATGAGATTAAGCTTAAGGACCCTGAGATGAGGTGACTTTCCAGGTAGGTCCAATCTAATGACAAGGAAAACCTCCCCTGGCTCCAGGGAACCAGAGACGTAGCGGTGTGAGAAGGACTTGACTTGACATTGCTGGCTCTGAAGATGGAGGATGGGGCCGTGAGCCATGGAATGCAGGTGGCCTTTAGAAGCTAGAAAAAGCAGGGAAGCAGATGGTCTCCTAGATCTTGTAAAAAGGAACGCCGCCCTGCTGACACCCTGACTTTAGACCAGTCAGACTTTTGTTGGACTTGTGAACTGCAGAACTGTAAGATCATTCATTTGGGGTGTGGAAGCCGCCAAGCATGTAGTGATTTGTAACAGTAGCCATAGAGAACTGACACAGGGTCTCAACAGGGAACAGAGGTCCCACTCAAATGAAGTGACTGGAGGAGATTTTAATAAAGGGATTATTTACAGAAGAGTGAACAAGCTGAGAGGGAACTCACAAGAGATGGTGTTGGACCTTATGGCTCTCAGCAGCAGGGAGTAGGGGAACGATGGTCCTGGCCCCAGAGAGAAAGAGGTGCTGTGTGGAGGTCACGGACAGGAGGTGGCTGGCCCTCCAGCCTGGCAGAGAGCAAGCTGGGCATAAAAGTGCCTGACCTCACTCTCCTCTCCCCTGAGGATCTACAGCTGGTGCTCCCCACACTGGCCACACTCGGCCAGGAGCTGGCAGGCAAGGGGTCCTCTGGGGAAGCTCATACTGGCCAGCATCCCAGGGCGGGCTGGGGAAGGAGGCAGAGGGCTGCTGCAGTGACAAACACAGCAAAGAAGGGAGCACATCCCTGGGGCCACTGGCCATCGGCCCTCCTACCCACCTGAGCTAGCGGCTTCTATACCAATACCCAGTGAACATCCTCAGACAAAACTTGGTGTCAGAAACAGTAACTTTTTAAATAAAGAAGTGTACTACTTAAATGTTACTAAATGCTGACTGCAGCCCCAGGAAGCGTATTGTATGACCTGATCCACTTCCCCTGCAGCCATGAAACAGGGCCCACAGCCGAGAGGTCTGGAGTTCCCTTTAAATGGGTTTATTTCCTTTTAAGCAAGGCTCAGGCAGGGAGTAAAATGCCAGAAAACGGGGTTGGAAAATACCAAGCTTTCAAACTGAAAGGGAAGCCCACTCAAAGTGTTCAAAAACTACCACTCAGACAGCCTGCCCCTGATTCCCAGGGCACCCCCTCAATCTTGCCCATCTGAGGAGGACCCTCAGAAAAGCAATTGCAGAGAAACGGTTTGCAATGTCAGACTTCTGGTTACTCTAAGAGCGAGACCCACACTCTTTTGTCCTCAGGCCTGGTGTGTGATCAGGGAGGTCACACCACACGTGTGTACAAGAAGAAAGTTAAGAAAACAACCTTAAAACAATTTAAACTATTACAGACTGGTTCATCCATAAAAGTCGATTTTTACTTTTCTATTAAATCATTTATTGAATAAGGGCACTACAACCCCAGTCGAGTCTGCATTTTTTTAGAAAGACAGTGACAGGGATTATATTAGTATATTTTTCTAACCTATTTCAATGTAGATTTCTGGGAAACGGTATATTTTAGACCAATATAGCTCACACTAGAAACCTATGAACTCAAGTATTCAGTTTAAAAAATAAACCCTGTGTTGCCTCTACCAAAGAAAGCCCCCAAGGGGTTCCCTGCATAGGTCTCCAGAGGTCACTGACTGCTTCTCTGTTGTTGTCCACAGAGAACGTGTCCATGAGAAGCGCTTGCAAATGACGATGAGCAGATGTCAAGCACACAGGAAATCACGTTACATGTCAGCTCAAGGAACTCCCAAATAGACGCTAGGTTTTGGAGGAAATTTTCCACATGTGTAATGTGACCCTCTGCTGCTGTCCACCCAGGCACTTGCCTTGGCCAGCATTCTCACTTAACTGAGGGGCAGAGGTCACAGAACCTATAGAATTTGTTCCATATCACTCTGGGCCCTTATTTCATCAAGGCCAAGAAGTCCCAATTCACTCACACACACACACACACACAAAAGAATCCTTTAAAGATAAAAAGATAAAAGAATGTAAGCTGGGGAGACAGTTACGCTACGCCTCTCTCCTGAGCAATCCCGCTACTTGAAAAACCTGTCAACATTGTGCAACTGCCTCCCGCTTAGACACATCGCCGCTGCTGCCCCTGTGACCACAGAGTGCCTTAAATAAAAGCGCTGCAGTACCCTGGTGGAGGGGCAGGCTCTGAGGCCACATGGCTGAGTTTCAAGTTCTGGCCCTCCAGCTTAAAGCTGAGTGAACTTGGAGATTTCACTTACACTTCTGTGCTTTTCCAACTGTAAAACACAGGTAATAATAGCATCTCCTATTAGGGGTGTTGTAAGGAGATGTTAATGTATGGAACTACTTAGCACAGTGCCTGCTACATGGTAATCTTTCAGCTGCTAATGTTATCATTATTACTGTCTCTGCTACCATCTTTACCTGCAGACCTCTGTCCTACCAACCTCATCCCTTCATCCTGAACTGCTTGCCTTGCTCCGGGTACCCGGACTTCCTCTCCGACCCACACAAAGCACATGCATTCTCACCTCTGGCCACCACCCCCGCCCCCGCCCACAGAGCCCATGTGTGTTACCCAAATGCTCTTTATCACTCAAGGTGCAGCTCCCCGCAGACCCCACAGAGGCATCTCCTCGCCAAGCCAAGGACTGTCCCTCTCTAAAATCTGTATGACATTCAGAGGTGCTAATCAGCACTGCCTGACTCATTCAGCTTGCATGGGGGAAGGGTCTTTAGCTCCCCCAGCCCCTATTTTTTAATGCATCTTCTGCATCCGCCCCTCAGTGCATCCACCCCCTGGAGCCCTGCACATAAGTCTTCAAGTTCTAACTAAACATCAAAGGTTAGAGGTAGATGGGGCTGCAGGCTGGTTTTGCTAGATTCTACAAGCTAGAGAATTGCTTTGAGTTTAAATGCACACTTCCAAATGATCTGCTACATGCATGGGCCATTTCTCTGAGCTCTGCATTCTCCACGTGGCGGCTTTGGTCTTCTGCTCTGGCACTCGGAAAAGACGGCCACGGTAAGCTAACACTGACTACTTTTCTTTAGCCAGCAAAGGCGTGCTGTGGCCTCCAAAGGTTCGTGCAGCGGGCACGTTGGTACTCACCAGTCAGCAATGCATCCAGTTATTAGGTAGCCAAAGATTAATCCAACCAGTAAGGAGAACTTAGCGATATGGACCTTCCAGGCATTATCACACACAAGATCCCACTAGAGAGGGGCAAATAGAAAATAAATCAGAGAGAAACATACACAGAGCTCGTCGTACTCAATTTTAAGGGCAATATAATAACCCTCTAGGGACCATGGCACCGTTGCCAGTACCATGCCACATACGCCATTCAGAGTCTCTTCCACATTTTTGAAAATCCAATGAGACATATAATTTGCCCACAAAAGGAAATGTAACATTTTAGTCTGGGACAGATTATAAGTCTGCACAGAATGATGCAGGAAGTCTGGGGATGTGTGTTCTTCTGTCCCAACCAACACGGGAAATGTAAACTGAGGCAGAGGTGGGCAGCGACGGAGACCAGGCGTCCCTGAGGACCAGTGGTCCCTCACCATGATGAGCTGCTCCGAGTGCCCAGGGGCTGGGAGACCCTGACGACTTTCTGCATGGGCATCATGATGACATGAGGAGGTTAAAAGTAACTTTTGCATTTTCATCCCAAAACATTCCCCAAACTTTACGAGAGTCTTAAAAATAAAGGCGAGCATTAGTAGTGAATGTTGAAATATGAACTTTAACTATAATTCCATGTAATTAAATGTAAATATGAAATATAAACATTCTATTTTGCCCTTGGAAATGTCCCTTGCGTTTTCCTATTTCCCCTCTAAAGCCATCTGCTCTACTTGGAGAGAAAGCCGGTCAATTAGTAAATACAACATTCAGACTATTGTACTGTTTGATAAGAAAAATACAAAAAATATTCCCATTTTTCTTTTCTCCACTTGCAGAATCAGGAGAGAAACCCCTGTTTGTTCCCTCTAAGTGATGCGCGTCCAAGTGTGGACTCAAATCCACATGCAGCTGGCATCTGGGCCAGAGGGGCAAATAAGCAGGGTCTCCGCTGGCCAGGTCATGCAGACGCAGAGCTGGGGGTCTAGATGCCTTGCTTCTGCTGCAAAGAAGTGGACAAAGTTTCCGGTTCTGGCCTCGCAACTCCAGGTCAGTGGAGACGGGGGTGGGGTGGTGCGGGGAAGCAGCTGAAGAAACGCACGCCAATGCATTTGGGAATGCCAGAGCGGGAGGTGTTCTGGGAGCACAGGCAGGATTGGAGGGGGGTGGGCACATGGAAGGTGGTGGGCTGATCCCTGATCCTAGTTCTGTCTTCTTAGATGTCTCCCCCGGCCCCTTGTCTCTGTGCACCCCAGACTGCAGCACAGAGGATCCTTGGAGAGCACTGTAAGCTCAGGCCTTGCCCTGTGTTTCCAAATTTCCAGAGCCTTATCGAGGCCTCGGAGGCCACAGCTGTGGTTCTTAGCATCCCTAAAATTCAGGAAAAGCCACGCTCTGTGTCAGTGGATGCAGGGAAAGGTGCCCGGCGGGGATAAGTAGAAAAGCACTGTCTGTCGCAATGTCCCCACTTCTGCCTTGGACTCCTTGGGACACACACTGGCTCGCCGATGCCCCGACACAGGTATGGCTTTCCAGAGACTTGAGGAGGGTGACTTCTTTTTCTACCCCATCTGCTTCCAGAGTGATTTGCAACGCCAGGCCCAGGAAGAAAGGGAAGACGGGAATGTAAGCACAGACTGCACGAGGGCCTCGTCAATAAAAGACGGCTTGGAATTTGCTGCTGTCAGGGTTTATTCATGAATTTGGGGAGCAGGGCACTGCTGGTTGCACAGATTCTTATTAAGAATTCAGACACAGGAGCTCCTTACAGGGTTAACTTCCTTCCATGATTGCTCCAGTGGTCCTCAAACTGCACTCCAGGGACCAGCAGCGTTAGCACCACGTGGGGACTAGTTAGGAAAGGCAAGTTCCTGGGCCCCATCCCAGGCCCACTGGATGAAAACTCCTGCAGGTAAGCACGGCAGTGTGGTTCAGCAAGCCTGCCCCGCGACTCAGAACTACTGGCCGACACTGCCCTGCCATTTTGAAGACAGTGAATGAGCTTCACCGTCTTGGGCTGGGGTTCAAACAACTCCCAAGAGCAGGGAGAAGCAAAAACGCCGTGGGAACCACACAAACGACTGACTGCTGCTGCTCGGTCCTGCAGGGTTGTACAGCTAGGTAATGAGTTAAGTGAGCTTTTGCAGGCAAGCCTGGAAAACGAACATCCACTTATGTATGCTGTTTCCAGGAAAAAAATGTATTTTTGATAATAAAAACCTTTCACCACGCAACCTATTTCTAACTTCAGGAATGCAGGTTTTGCCTTAAAATGTGAGTGACAGCTTCATAAATCACAGTGGGTGCACATTCTGTTTTTCCAGCTTGGTTTACACACGCTGGCAGGGGAGGTGCTCACGACACCTGTAACCACTCATCTCCCAGTTGCATCATGCCTTTGGGAGCCTCGGCTGGGCACAATCTCGGCAGGAGAGGAACACGTTCCGACCCCAGGTTGCTGCCGGGAAGAAGGGCACCAGCTGCTGTCTCAATGGCAGGGAGTCATTTGAAATGCTTTCATGTCTTCACCAAGACTTCCCACTGATGAGTTTACTTGAGGTTAAAGGATGCAAATGAGTATATTATGCTTCTATGAGATGGCCAGGAGGCAGAAGAAATTTTAATAAAGCATTCAGGGGACTGGGGGAAATTGCCAATACTGTTGTGAGTTCAGCCACCTGAGCAATGACCAGACCCGGCCTCGGCAGCCACGACCCCATTAAGGTGCTAGCTAATAAGATGTTCAGTGGCCAGCCCTATCCATTAGCAGTGCCACAGTGGAAAACGAAGACAGTGGAGGGAGACTGGGCCACTCACACGGCTGGTAGGGAGAGGAAGCCTGGTTAAAAGTATGGCTGGCTCCACAGTTCCCAGCCTGTGGGCTTTCCCCTGGGGAGGGGGGCGGGAAACCCAGGGCGAGGCAGTCACCTGCTGCCTTAAACCCTCCTGAACTAGGCACAAGAATAGACAGCATATCTGAAGCAACAAATAAACCAACTGGATTCCCAGGCCCAGCAAGTTTACCATGATAAGGGTTACTCATGCCTGGGGATCTGCCCGCAACACCACCCTTGCCATCCTGGAGCCACCGCCGTTTAGCAGGGTAGGGTGGGGCTGGGGGAACCCATGGCGCCGACACCCTTGTTTGACTTCTACTTCTGGTATTGACAAAAATGTACCGGGAAAAGAAAATATGTTCAGACACAGTATAATCTCCTAAAGAATTTCAGAAGTATGAGGAAGCTTTGAGGTCACCTGGCTCTTGAAATTTGTTCACATTGCTCTAGATAAGATATGGCAACTGGTCATTTCACTGACCAGTTGGGTAAGCAATGTTTAAAGCAATTTATAATTTTTCAGATTAAAAAAAATATATAACAGGAGTAATGTTTTAAAAAGTACAAAACCAGAACTTAACATAATAGGTTTTGTCTCTGACATTACCCTTGTCACCTCCCTCTCCATCAAATCAATCACCAATTCCAGCAGGTTTTACCTTTCAAATATGTCCTGAACATACCATCCATGCTCCATGGCCCCCACAGACACCCCGATTTATAGGGATGGGGTAGGCGCTCACTCATGTGATCCCAGTCTCCTTCTGGTGTGTGCTCCTATAGTGCGAGCTGGAAGGCCAAAAACAATACTTCCAGATTCTGGTACATCTACAGTTTCAAATGTGATTTTGGTCCTGCCAATCATGTGCACATCCCAAAATAACTTTCTGTGTGCAACCTTGTTCTAATTTCCGGATGACTTGAGTTAGGAAGAGAGTTAAGAGGGGAGGAAGGGAGACATCCATTTTGCTGGTCAGATCTGGCAAGGGTTGGGTGGTCTGGGAGCCAGCAGTTCTGGAGGTGGCTAAGGAGGTGTGATCTTGGAACCAGTGGTTGGGACAGTGACTTTCTAATTCTTCAGCCTCCTAATGGAGGCACAGTTCCCTGGACAGGCTAGCTCTCCAGAGTTCTTCCAGGAATCCTTCCAGAGGCCCGTTTACAGTTGCTCTAGCAACTCAGTCAGCACTATTCCCTGTATTCAGTCCCTATCTCCTGAAATACCAGAGTGGCTTCTGTTCTTTGCGAATTGAACCTTGTTCTCTGGTCAAATTTCCTTGGGATGGAATTCGCAGGGGGTAAGCAGACAAGATAAGGAAAAGTCACCAGCCCTCCTCCCTCTGCTGAACTAATACAAGAGTCTCCCTGCATTAACTCCAATCTCCCTCAAACCCATTCCCTAGAGAACAATGAAAAGCATCCTTTAATTAACCTTGTTAACACCTCATCAGCAGGTTTAACAAGATCATAAAAGCACTAAAGTCATGGCTCCATTTCATAATCTTAGGCTTGCTTGCTTTGTCATTCTTCCAAGACCAGGGACATTCATGATGATGCCATGTGACGCCTCTGAGCCATGACTAAGCGGTGAGACAAATGACTCCCAAGTGTGTCTACGTTTCACACATGTTAGTTGCTCTGTGTTCTGGCAAAATAAGAAAAAAAAAACAAAACTGCGGAGTCAGAGAAAATCTGGTAGACTCTTTTTGGACCTGTATAGTTTAAGGATAAGCTAAAGAAAATACCATTAATATTATTTTGAAAGGAATAATTGCTTGACTTGTCAGAGTGGAGAAATATTCATCAAGGAAACTCAGAAAATTTCTAAAGAAGATAGAAAATAAATGGCAGATAAAGAAAACAATCTTGTTTTCCACGGTAATGAATTCCATGATAAAATGTAAAACAAGAACATAAAAGAATTGGAAGCAAATAGATTGCTTCTTTAATTTTGAAGTGAAGATAAAATCTCTAAAGAGAAAAACTAGGGAGGAAAAACTACCTAAGGAAACAACTGGTAGATTTTGTAATAGTTTAACGATTACTACTTTACTATTAATTACTATTTTTAAAGTCTACACATCAAAAATACAATAAGCAAAATTATAAAGACCTAAATTTGTAATATATATCCATTTACATATCAATATACACCAATACTGCAACCAGAAATTGAGTTAGCACCCAGATGATTAACCAAATATGAAACACAAATAAACACTTGAGAAATGTTTGATTTCACTAACGAAAAT